CATGTACGGAGTACAAAAATGTAGTTGATGAGAAATTCTAACATGCTGAAGTGCTGGATTGGCTGGCTGGACATTTTACTTTGATATGGTATAGCCTTTATGCCCCTGTATATTGCTGTTGCTATATGATAAATTCCCAAACACTTTTCTGTCTGGTCAAAAAATGCTTGACTTGAGAGGTTCAAAATACTTTCCAAATACATTTGTTCGCATCATCTGAGCATGACAGAACTCCACCTGTCCTCTGCAACAGGCAAGACACCGCCAGCAGGACAGAATCTCTTCTGAAACCACTTATGCTCATAAATGGCATACACATGTAGGAATCCAGCAAAATAAGAGTGTAAAGAAACCCTGTGATCTAGCATTGGAAAGAGTAACCCCTTGAGAGTTAGTAAAAGTGTTAGCAGAGCCTGGCATGGTGTTACTAGGGAGAGAGGAGAAAATTAAGAGCTGAAATGGTAAAGTTTTCTAATACTTAGAAAGATTGACTGCAATGGCCAGCTAAATCTAACATTTGGTGGGGAAATCTCTCAAGCCTGACACATTTAGATACTACTGCTCTAAGCAGTGAAAACAGGGCATAGGACTTTTACAGTATTGTACCAAACAACGCTAAAGCAGGGCCTTTCCTGCAGAATAATTTAAGATTTGAAATATGGCAAAGTAAATCTCCCAGGCTTCTGGAAACATGGCTTAACAGAGCCTACATCAAGAACAATACTCCAGAAGATATCCCTATTCACATCTCTTTAGAAATGGTTCCTCTCTGTTTATCACTTATTTGAAAAAGCTGTTGCTAGTCCTTTCAAAAGTGGTCCATCCATACAAATGAATGTATGTCAAGGTAAGGCCATGCCAGACACCGTGACCAACAACAGAAACAGAAATATTTTTTCTGAAAAACTTTGATGGAGCTTATATGTTTTACAGGAGTGAACTAAGGTTGGGTATACACTTCCCATAGAAAATTAAAAAGGAAAAAACAGTTGGTCCAAATCTAATGTACCCTTCCTCCAAGATGAACCATTGCTCTGGGCACAAGGGTCTCTTCTTTCTCAAACTGCTATATAAGTCTGTACTTGTCTCAAAATCTCAACATTAGGTTTAGCACTTTTCAGAGATTACATGTGGTTGCTGTCTTGTGTAGATATGATACTTCTTCGTAAGTCTGACAAGCTTCCAGTGTTCAGAAGAATCTAGGCCTCCTTAGGCTGCTTTCTCTAGCTGTATCTCACCTCATACTGGGAACTGTAAATACCATTCAAAATGTCCGAACACTGAAAAGGATGAAAATTCTAATCAAACTAGTCAATTTCCATTCCCAATTCTGTTTAATATCTTTGTCAATGATCTGGACAAGGGGATCGAGTGCATCCTTAGGTGCAGACAACATCATATTGGGCTGAAGGTTAGGAAGGCTCTATAGAGGGATCTGGATATACTGGATTAATGGGCCAAGGCCAATTGTACGAGGTTCAATGGGGCTAAATACTGGGTTACACTTGGCTCACAACAAACCTATGCAATGCTACAGGCTTGGGGAAGAGTAGCTGGAAATCTGCTTGACAGAAAAGGACCAGGGGGTGTTAGTCAACAGCTGGCTAGACATGAGCCAACAGTGTACCTGGGTAGCCAAGAAGGCCAATAGCATCCTAGCTTATATCAGAAATAGTGAAGCCAGTAGGATTAGTGAAAGATTGTCCCCCTGTACTCAGCACTGATGAGGTTGCACCTTGAATACTGTGTTCAGTTTTGGGTCCCTCACTACAAGAAAGACACTGAGGTGCTGTAGTGTGTCCAGAGAAGGGCAATGAAGATGGTGAAGGGTCTAGAGGGCAAGTAACATGAGTAGGAGCTGAGGGAACTGTGGTTGTTTAGCCTGAAGTAAAGGAAGCTGAGGGGAGACCTCATCACTCTCTACAACTGCCTGAAAGGAGGTTGTAGTGAGGTGAGTGTTGATCTCTTCTCCCAAGTAACAAGTGATAGGATGAGAAGAAATAAGCTCAAGTTGCACCAGAGGAGGTTTGGATTGGATATCAGGAAAAATGTCTTCACCTAAAAGGTTATCAAACATTAGAACAGGCTGTCCAGGGAAGTGGTTGAGTCCACTATCCATGGAAATATTTAAAAGACCTGTAGATGTGGTGCTTAGGGACATGTTTTAGTGGTGGATTTGTCAGTGTTAGGTTGGACTCAATGATCTTGAAGGTCATTTCCAACCTAGATAATTCTATGATTCTAATGATCTCCATAATTCACAAATTCCTTAGTCTGCAGTATCATTGGATCAGAAGGTGAGAAACACTTTCCTACATCTATATAAAATGAACATGTTATTGAAATGGGCTATATTCCTTCACAATAAGAAGACCTAAGCACTCCCCTTTTGCTACTACACCTCAGTTCTCTCTTATTTGAATAAGAATCAAAATTTATGATGCTTTCTGACTGCAAAGATTAGTATTCTTTTGGGGATTCATGAGAGACAGAGGGCCCTTCCAGTCAGTGAAACAGAAAATGAAGAAATGGCTTTAAAGGGTGTTATTCCTTTTCCTACCTCAGAGGGACCACCAAAAGATATGAGTTACCTGAGGTCCTCAACTTGTCCAATACTGGGCTTTCCTACACTCCCCCAGGATGTAACCCTAATGTTATATATTAGGTGAAGAATGCATCAGAAATGGAAAAGAAAAATAACTGCTGGTTCAAACCGACACCTCAACACTGAAAAGAAACAAGAAGATCATTCTGAGTCAAGCCCTATTCCCAGGGGGAATTATGCAGTAGTTCTCTCAGCAACTGTACTAGTACATAACATGACTCCATCTCTCCCAGTTGCTTTAAGTGTACAAATGGGTACTATTGTTTCACAACAAGGACTTAGAAAGGTTAACCAGGCTTGACAAGAACCATTTAAAGAAATATTAAGAGAAATATTTAGGTTGGAATGTACATCTGAAGGTCATTGAGTCCAACCTCCCACTTAAAGAAAGCTAACTTCAGTGTCAGATCCAGTTGATTGTCCAATTGCGTTTTGAATATATACAAGGATGGAGATTTCACAGACTATCCAGACACTCGCTCCAGAGACCATCTAATCACTCTTGCATGTAAATCACTCTTTTTCCTTATATCAGACCTGACTTTCTCTTGCTGCAACTTGTCACTGTTCCCTCTCCTCTTCACGTTGTGCAACTCCCATACAGGTCTGGGTCACATGTCACAGCAGTGGAAGACAGAGGTAGATCCCCTCAGCTTCTGTTGGCTGAAGAATTCCAGTTCTCACAGACCCCCATAATCATCTTGGTGCCCCGCTGCTGAACTTACCCAGTTTGTCAATGTATTTCTTGTACTAAGAGGTTGAAATCTGGACACAGAGCTACACGTGCAGACTCATGAGTGCTGAGTAGAGGGAATAATCACTGCCCTTGACATGCTGGGTCCAATTCTCCCAGTATAGCTTAGTATGTAGATAATTTTCATTAACATAAGGAAGCACTTACTGATTGGTGATCAGTTTGTTTCCTACAAGGACCTCGGAGCTTTTTCTGCAGACCTGTCAGTCAGTCATTCTTTAAGATGCATGCAGTTAGTTTTTCCCAGGTATTTGGCTTTGCATTTGCTTCAGGAGGTTCCAATCAATCCATTATTTCAGTCTGTCAAGACCCCTCTGAAGAGCAGGCCTGCCCTCCAGTATATCAGGCGGTGTCCTCAGTTTGCTGTCATCTGCAGTCTTGCTAAGGCTGCATTTCATCCTATTGACGATGTTACTTTAGTACTAAACACTATGAGTCTCAGCACTGATCCTTGAGGAGCGTTGCTCATGACCAGTCACTGCATTCAACAACAGCCTGGGCTGTTTACACAATACCTTGTCCTAACCCTATGAGTCTGAAAAATCAATGTTCAGCTTGATAGTGAAGCCCTCTGTTTAAACACAAGAACAAAGAATTAGCTGAGTCATGCACTCAAAATTTTAAAATGCTAAATTAAAGTAGTAAAAAGGCAAGTGAGCAGTAAAAACTTAAGAGCAGTAAGAACATAAGTACAGTAAGAACATACTTACAGAAGTGAATTTTGGGCTGTTATCAAGTTAATGGTGGCTGATCTCTTAACTTGCAACACACTTAAGCATTAGGATTAGTTAGGGTTTTAGACATACTCCTGTCATTTGAGATTCCTGTTGATTACAGGCCACCACTCAATGCATCAGCCTGTATTCAATCCCATTCTCAATTTTCTAGGTGCCCATATGTAAATTAAAAGATTTGAGGAAACTTCAAGTATGAATAGGCCTATTCTTGACAGTAGAACAATGGCATTCAGGAATCATAAATTTTTTAAAACAATTTTTGTTCATCTCAACAAATTCATTCTTATTCTTTTTAATATGAGACGGAACCATTGCTTTTCCTTAAATAAATACAAATGTAACTAAAACTTATAGACCAAAATATTTCAATCATGTTCACAAAATAGAAGATATCCAATACGGACAAGTTACCCAAACAGTTATCCAAAATGTGCTGGGTTTGTGTGGTGGGGTTTTTGTAGTGGGGGAGAGGGCTACAGGGGAGCCCCCCTGTGAGAAGCTTCTTGAAAGCCTTTCCGACTCCAAGTTGGACTCTCTTTTGCACCAAGGACAAGACAATTAGTGATGGTGGCTGCACCTCTGTGATAGCATACTTAAGGAGAACCTGAGAGGAGGTGGAGACTTTGAGGACAAATTATGAGAAGGGCACCTATGTGAACACCGAGGTCAGTGGAAGGAAGGAGGAGGAAAGGGGTGAGGTGTGTTGAAGTAGAGACCCCTGTATTCCGTGGTGAGATGGCAGGGCTTGCCCTCCCTGCCACCCATGGAGGTCACCAGAGCAGCAGAGATTTACCTGTGGCCCGTGTAGGGCCCCACACCGGAGCAGGTGACTGCACTAGGCTGGGACTCTGGGAAGAAGCCCCTGATGTTGTAATGCAGTGCTGGGAAGACTGCAACACGTGGAGGTGACCCTTGCCAGAGAATCTCGAGAAGAATGCATCCCATAGGGAGGACTCATGGAGGAGAGAGGTCGTGGAGGACTGTCTCCTGTGAGCGGAATGGCACGTGGAACAAGGGGAGAATGCAGAGGAATGCTTTCCCCTCATCTTTGAGGAAGAAGTGGTGGACTGACTGCACTCCCCATCCCCTGCCCTTGTACCACTGGGGGAGAGAGTTATAAATATTGAGAACAAAAGCTGGGGAAGAAAGGAGGGATGGAGGGAGGTATTTTAAGATATGGCAACTCTCACTGTCCCATTCTGTCTCTTAAGAGTTGGTTTTGCTAGTGTGTGAATTAAAGTAATGTTCTTGTTTTTTTCTTCCCCTAAGAAGTCTATCTTTTGCCAGTGACAGTTAAATGGGTGAGAGACCCCTCCTTGTCCTTAACTTAATTCCTGAGTCTTTTGATTGTTTTTTCTCCTTCCCAGCGCAGAGAGGAAAGAGTGGATGAATGGCTTCATGACACTCAGTTGCCCTTTGGGCTCAAACCATAATACAAAATTAAAAGCAAATACAATGGCATTAAAAAAAATATATATATGTGAAGTATCATTCTCTTTTGGCTGAATTACTGTTTTTTCCAAGAAAAGGACAAAAGTGAAGAAAGGCTGTATATTATTCCAAACTTTCCACAGCAATACACTGTTGCTTGGGCTAAGAAATGCACTTTCAAATTCCTAATTTTTTCTTGGTTATTTCTCTATATCAGTAACTAATATTATCTCTTCATTTTCAGATGATATTGGCTGAATTTTGCTCTCCATCAGCTGAAAGGAAAAGAAAAACTTCCATTAGTTTTATACATAAAACTAGTTAGGCTAGCCTCTACTTATGCACAATTCTGAGAGTATTTCAACTTTTTTTGCATATTTTATAGAAAAAAAATATTACTTCTTTGTTTCTTAGCTGATAAGCTTTCCTTAGCTGGACATAACAGTGAAATTTCATCAACTTTGTAATGTTGACACATAATTTTTGACTGCCTGGAAGTGGACAGGGAGAACGTGTAGTTTTCTCTAATGCACCATGCAGATTACCACAAATTATCTCAAACAAATGCAGAAGAATTAACTTCACTAAGGTGTGAAAGCAGATAAGTACATGTAACTTGCTAGTGAACTTCATATTGAAGCTGGCCTAGGGGATGAGTAGGAGGGAACTGTACCTGGAGAGACCCAACATGAGAGCTGATGACCTGCTGGGTAGACCCAGGGTCCAGACACAAAAATCAGATGTGAAGAACTTGCGAATTTATGCTTGTTGTGAATGAAGGGAGTGAGGGTGTCTGCCTGTCTCACTGGCAAACTTCAGCCCTGCTCAGCTGGAGACGAGCAGGAGGACTGAGATGTCTGCAACCCTATTTATGTGACTGCTGTTGGTGTTGACATCGTTCTCGTAAAGACAGCTGTGCTGGTCTTTGTGTGTGTCATGCTACATGTGTGTGCCTTGTGTTGGGAAAATGCACAGCCCTTACTGCTGACATTGGACCTACCAATGGGAGCATCAGCCCCTGCACCTGTGAGACTGGAATGGGAAAAAAATCCCTGATTCTGGAAGATCACTGCATTTGACTTCACTTAATAAACTTGCCTGATGATTTTTTTGTTGTAATTTCTCAAAATGTGGCAGAGTTTTTCTCTGTGTTGTTCCTTACCATTAAAAAAAAATACCTGCAGTAGAGTCTTGTATGTATTTCACACATTTAATATAAAATAGAAAGAGAACATACCTCTGGATTGGTATCAGACAGTCCACAAAATGAGCTTTTTGGCTCTGGGATTTGTGAAAATGCAGCTTTCCAACAGCCAGCCCTGAAGATGAAAAGGGGTGGTATAGAAAAGAAAAATTAAGTAACCATCATGTGTCAAGACCATTGTGTCTCGAAACAAAGCTCTCATCTTGCTCTTCCAACATAGAAGAGAAAAGAAAAATATACATCATCTCAGCACAGAATGAAAACATACTAGAAAAACACTAAGAATTGGGATAGTAATAGTTTCATTTTTGGTTAAGGATTCACTAGTAATTATTTTCTTTGAAAGGAAAAGGAATTTGTTCTGCTCTTTAAGTCACTACAACCAGTGAAAAGTGGGTGTAAAAATTTTAGCAAGTTGGAAGAACAGCATCTTCTCTGAATTGTTGTATATTTCTATACAAAATGCATGATATGGCAGAATAACTTTTTTCTTTCTGTTTCATTTGCACAGTTTATTTAGAGAAGCAAGGTGCTTAGCGTATGTATCTTTCAGATACTTTCAGTTTGCTTAGGATAATTCTAGTGAACATTGCAAAATCTTTACTGGTAAGTACAATCAGCCTGTGGGTTTTCAATAATGTCACCAGTTCAAGAAATCAGGAAGCCTTTTGCGTAGACAGTCTACGTTGCAAATATTCAGAGCAGCTCTGCTGTTAACATAAGTAATTGCAAATAATTGCTTGCTTTGCCATGTTGACAGAACAGGCCCTGGAAAAAGTTGTGTGGATCAGCTGGGGAGGGACTTCGGGCATCACCATTATAGTACTTGCCTCAGGATCACCCATTTGGATTGATGTGTACTACAGTGTGAGTGAAAAAAAAAAAAAAAAAATCTATACTACAGGGACACCCCTACCTTATTTGTTTAAGAACTGCAGATATTTCACACACCCACACAAAATAGAATAAATGCATAAATTAAGTTTACCTTTGGCAGAAGAAAATTGTGCTGATTGCCACTAGGACTGTTGCAACTGCTATCACAAGTAAAATCCATACTGAAGAAGAAATAATATCTTCCTTTCCTGAAAGAGAAACAGTCATAAAGTATTATCATTAATAAAGAGGAATATAGGCATAACTGTGTCAGACATCTACTGTGTTGACTAACTGGTGAATTTAGGTCTGAAAAGTTTCACTTGGTTTAAAAATATCTCTTTAATTTACTACTAATTCAGCAGTAATGTCTGCTGGGAGGGATTAGCATTGAGTCTGTTTGTCCATCACCTGCAGTAAGCAGTGATGCACTTCAGCTGCAAATGTATAACTTTTTATATTTATTTGCAATGTTAGATGGATTTATTTCCAATGTTAGAGTGTTAAGAGATTTATTAAGTCTCTTCCTCCATTACTTCTCTGTAGTGTGGAGTGAAACAAAATGTTTGTCAATTCTTTATATGTCTGTTTTGTCTGTAGGTGCGCAGCAGTGTGAGGCAGACAGGACATCACTGGGGAAAGAGTAGTTCAAGGCATGGAGTTGTTCTTACCAAACTCAACGGTTGCGCTCCACTCCCCCCAAGATGAGCTCACGAGGCAGGCACTGCCAGCTGATCTCATTTTCAAGAGGTACTTCCTTCTTGTATTGGATCTTTGAAATGTGTGACTATTTCCCCCTTCCTAAAACCAAGGTAAAACTGAGTTGGTTTTCTTTGTTTCATATCTAGGTGTTGATAATATATGTAATTGTCATTTACCAGTGAAACTTTCATGACGCTATGAGAGTGTTGCTTGTTAAAGCAGACTGCTGTTCCAGAGCAAAAATTAAATATATTCATGTTTGTTATGTATATAACATGTTTGCATACGTGTATCTCAAAAATAACCTGTCGCTCAGTAAACTTTTTAAGTTTAGAATTTTTTAATCTTTTATGCTATATCCTCTAATTTCTTTTGATATATTCTGATTTATTGATAATTTCCCTCAGCACATTGACAGAGGCAGAAATTCCTGCTAGAATTGAGTGATTTGAGGAGTTAAGTGTCTGCATCCACCTCACCTTGTTCAGTCTTTGCACTGTGACTTTTCAGGATAAAGCTTAACTTTCCAGCCAAACCGGTAAAATAAGTAGAAGACTGATATAGTTAGTGTTACTAGAATTTACTGAAACATCTTCTCTTGGACACTTTCAGAATAGAGGTGGGATGTGCAAACTGCACTGACCAGAAAGAGGTGCAGCAAACCCTGGAAGACAGCCTTCATCCTAAAGGATTTTTGTGGTCTTTGTTTGTCACAAACAAAATTAAATTCCTAGGAGGTGTTTCCTCGGTGTCCCTTTTCTCTGCTGTCACTGATGTATAACTTCAAAATCTTTTCCAAATATTTGAAGGGGAGAGTTACATTTACAAAACCTTACATTTACAATATAATGTAAAATACAAGGTTTTTCAAAATATTTACAGAATAGTGATAAAGTTCTGCCCGTGTATGTATAATAAATGACAGGTCATGATGATTTAACAGTTTGACAATTCAAGAAATTTATAAATAAGGGTCCTATAAAGCAGAGGACATCGAATACATACTGATTTAAAGGCATTTGCATACTATTTACTTTTCACAGATGACTATGAAACCAATAAGCATTGCTGATTAATAGAAAAAGCAGACTTACTTGTATAGAAGTATATTTGGTTTTTCCCTCAGGATTACCCTGTAAATTGAGAAAAAACCCTTTATTTTTATGATTGCTTGTTTTGTGTTTATATAATAAGTAATTTTTATCTATCCTTTTTTTTTTTTTTTTCCTGCATTACTTATCTATTTGTCACTTCAGTTAGAAGAACTAATTTCTCTACCATTTAGTATCTAATATATAATTAATCTACAATAACAACTTTATATGGTAACTAATTCTTCTATGTAAAAGTATTTGTCTTCTTTACCATCAGACCTGAGAAATAAATTTTATTTCAGATTTGTAATTAAACTGAAACACAAGAAAATCAGACTCGAATGAAAGTGTAACTTTATTCTTACATACACCAGGGATAAAAAAAACCCCTAAATCTTTGAAAGAAACTTTCTAGTTTATATCTAGTGTTTATATTTTACAATAAATTCACTATATTTTAATATAAATGTTATTTAAATATTTTATTTTCCCTCAGATTAAAATATTCAGGACTGACACAGTTTCACAGATATTTTAGGCTGCCCTTTAACCACATTTTTGATAGACAGAATAAAATTCACTCATCTCTTCTGAATAGCCATACCATGTAATATAATGGCCACACACAGCTCATGACTGTATTATTTCCATTAGCCTGTCTGTTATGTATTTTTGAAATTATTTTACATGCTGTATTACTATATTTTAAGACAAAATTAAATTAATTCAAACTTGTTTTATCAAGTAACTGCATGCATGCTCATGTGACACCTTAACATGAGTTTGAAAGGCATGTTTCTGTGCAGAACAGCTTCTAGAATCTGTAACCAAACTAGCTTAAGCACAGGGATAAAGCTAGGAGAAAGTATAGTCTCCCTTTTTTTGTGTGTTTATGCTAAAATAATACATGATAAATTAAAACAATGAGGTCATGGAACACTTCAGAAAGTGAAGTTTCAGAAGGACAGCTGGCCTTCTGCAAATTTTGGAAGAAGAGATGTGTATTAAAGGGCACTGTTTAAAAAGATGAAGGAGAAAATTTGTATGATAATTAAAAGATACTCCGTCCTGCAGGGGATAGTGACCTGACCTGACCTGATGGAGATCTGTTGCTTGTCAGGGGCTGGGATCCAGGATACTGCAGAAGGACTGCCAGACTCATCTGGCCATTGAACTATTACCTCTTCTTGCTCTTTTGTGGGGGCACCAATGATATGGCCAGCATAACCTGGATGTTTACAAGGGTGATTGCAGAGCACTGAAGACAGATGGTGTCTCCTCAGTCCTTCCAGTGAAAGGGAAAAGCTTGAGCAGAATTGCAGTCATCCAGCAGGTCAACACCTGTCTGAGTGTCTGGTGTCACAGGCAGGGCTTTGGTTCTTATGAACTTGGAACCCTTTTTGAGAAATGGGGGCTCCTGAGCAGGCATGGGATGATTCTCAGCAAGTAGGGTGAGAATGTCCTTGTAAACAAGCTTGCTAACCTAGTCCTTGTACTCTGTGTGGAGTGCCTTGAATGTATTGTTCTATAGCTCTGTCGTGGGACAAACGATGAACCAGTAAGAGAACTTGTGAGTAGGCATCAGAGGACAGACCATCACAGGTGACAGTGTAGTAGATGTTTGTTCCAGATCTCCTGATCAAGAAAAGGAAGCAGCTAAGATCCTCTTCAGGCAGTCTGAGAAAGCCTCACAGCCACAGACCTTGGTACTCCATGGAGGGGAAAGCTGTTGGTTGATCTACAAGAACAGCCTCCTCTGAGTCCAAGAATGGTGCGTTCCAGTGTGCAGAAAATCAAGGAAGTGTGCCAGGTGAGCATGGCATGACATGAACCTTGAGTCTGAGCTCAGAGACAGAAAAGAAATATGAAGAATGTAGAATAAAGGATTTGGAAGGAATACAGAGACATCATCTGTGCGTGCAGGAAGGGAGTCAGAAATGCCAAAGCTCAGCTGGAGTTGAGACTAGTGAGGGAGGTGAACACAGGAACGGTTTTTAAAAGTGCATTGACATCAAAAGGGAGATTAAGGAGAATGCAGGCCTCGTGCTCACTGAGTTGAAGTAGCCTAGTGACAGGGGACATAGGAAAGTCTGAGGTGTTTGGTGTGCTTTTAGCTCAGTTTTCACTGATAAGGCTTAACTTCAGGTTTCCCAGATATTCTGATCTGTAAAACCTTATCTTAAAACATTACTGAAAGAGAAACTGAGTCATGTTATTGGTGTCAGACATGAAAAAAATGTGATTACAATTATATTACTCATGATGTTATTCTTTGGCTGTTTGCTCCCAATGCAAGTAATTTCTGATTATGAAAACAGAGTTTAAAGCCTGACTGTAATGCAATATATGTTGGTCATAGTGTCTTAGTAATAAAATGCAAGTTTATATCTGGCAGTAGTAAAGCAATAAATTTGCAATACAGTAATTGCTGAACTTTGACATAATTGGTCCCATGAAATCTCCTAATGAGTATTTAAAAAAAAAAAAGTTAGACAATTCAGACTACAGGTGAATTGAATATTTTTTATAAACTGAATATTAGGCATATTAAAAGACATGAAGAAGTATATATTTGCTTTACTTCAATGAATTTTTATTCCAGTGTCACGCAGAGTTTTCTATAAGCTTTCTTTGCTGCAAAGGCCAAGGGATTCAGAGAATTAATGCAGTTTTGTAGCAGTTAGTTGAGCTTGCAAGAAAACTCACCTATGAAATGGCAAGTCTGATCCAGGCTAAGAAGGTCCAAATAGCAGAAATCCAGGGAATGCCTTCAATCAGCCACTAAATGTCCAAATTTGTATTCAAGACAGGTTTTTCCTTTGTAGTCACTATCTGCCACCCCGTGGTCATTTGACTCAATTCTGCCACAGTTCCACTCTAGGTCTACTAACACAGCAAACTCACTCCTTCCCTAATTGCTATAAAAAGACTTGTAAAGCCAAGGATCTCAATTTCCCTTTCAGTAGCTTAAATCTCTCCCTCAGTAGCCTGTGCGTACTCACACTGCCTTTCTGCTTTCTCTCACATATAATCTCCTTTTATTTAACATTATACACCTTAAACTTCAGGACCAACAGGTGGTTGCTTATATATGATGTCTGGATAAGCTATTTATATTTTGTTTATAGAGAAATTTCATTCACCTCTATCAGCTCATACTTGCTAAGTGGATGCATATTTCTCTATTCAGTATTTACAGCCCAGCTCTGCCCTTTCATGTAGATGCAGTCACCACTGGAAAGACTCCAACCCAGGACAGCTCCAACAGGTTTTGGTGAAAGAAGTGCCATTTCTGAGTTTTGTCACAGCTGTGACATGTTCAAGTCTTGATTAACCATGTTTCTCCCCTTAGTCCCACAAAGTCACAGTCATCCAGTGTATCTCCAAACAATATCTCACTCAGGGGAACGTGGAAAAAAAAAAAAAAAAAAAAAAAAAAAAGAGGCAGTGTGGTGTAACAGGGTGCCTGAAAGGCACCAACTACAAAGGAATATGGTGGTACGTATGAGGAAGGTTACACCATACAAGGGAGACTGATTTTCTTTTCAGTCATGTGTATTGGTAAATGCAAACATATATATTGATGTTAAATGTATGTGAAGAAATTCCTCTTACCTTATACTTTATGTTGATTTCATATTTAAAACACTTGTCTTTGTTAGAATGACTTATTTGGGGTCGTTGCCATTGAATTATGCAATCATTTTTCATTTCATCACAGTTGACTGTGATATTTGATGGAGGCATGAGCCTTTCTGAAATGATATAACCAAGAATTCAAATAATTACAGTCACTTCATCCCTTTTTGCTTTGATAAAAGAGAGTGAAATTGCAAGTAACACCTCTGTGAAGAAAGCTACTTATTTTTATGTAGTTTTGTTAGCTACCCTGTTAGAAATAACTGAAAGACCAAAGTTCTTTAAGATGAAAGATTTTTACATTCTTTCCTCAGGATCAGACAAACAGGGACTAAACCAGGGAACGACTTATGAGCATACAAAGATACAAGCCCCCTCTATTTACTTTTCTAGATGAGTAAGGTAGAGTCCCCTCTTCCTTTTATAAGGATGTTTTTCACTGTGGAATAATAAGCTGATTCTAACCTTAATATAAGAAATCCAAAGGTAATTTATTTCTTCAAGCCTCCTCACATGATATTTCTATGATATGAAGGTGTTGCTTGGTGTTGTGAACTATGTAGTTTATTCCCCCTTTCCAAAAAATTAGCCACATAAATTTAAAAAAGACAACTTCACTTTTAAGAATCTAGCCAACTTCATCATGCATATCCCTAATTTCACAGATGTGAGCAAAACTATGAGGACCTTTATATTTTGATCATCGCCAAGGACTTGATTATTGTAACAGCAAAAGATAGTCACTCATACAGAAAGCGTATTAAAAGGAAAGCTTATTTTTAGCTAGACTACTCCTTTACATTAATCCTTAGAACAGACCTGGCCTATTTGTGATGAGCTATTTGGTCAAAGAAAAGTCTTGTGTCATCTGCCGTGAGTGGTATTACAGTTTAATTCCTTCTTCAGGGAATGAAGCCTTGCCAAAAAGGCTTTGCCACAGTAAAAGTAATTACACAGGATTCTTCCAGGTAGAGCACCACATGCGAAAGAGCATATGAAAACCTGGGGTATTTTGTACACATATTAATTTCATTAATTGAGGGTATAGTGTCGGCATATGCCATCCCCACTGGCAATGAGAAGCAGAAATCAGTGCTCAGATAAGCTTCTGAAAGTCTCCTCCATTGAAAGGTCTTTGGCCATCAGCGAAAGGACAGCAGGGGGGAGTACAATCTCATAAATCCTGTGGACCTTGATGGAGAAAAACTTAAAAACAATAAGGGTAGATTGCTAAAGAATCTGGGGCTGCAGCTGTGGACCTTTCTTCCTTAATTTCCCTCATTATTTTTTTGCTTGGGGAATAGATTTTCTTGAAAAAAACAGTCTCTTATTGTCAAATTTAGGTGAGGCAGGGTACTTGTTTCCTTCTCAGGGATAAGTACTCTACTGCCCTTATGAAATAATGAAAACAAAGCAGAAAGAAGTTACTCACCAATTTTATACAGTTCAATGTACTCATCAAAGAACTGGATCAAGGAGTCTTTGCTAGACCCATTCACCAGGAAGTAAGCTCCTTCAGTCTTTATCATCACATTTTGGAATCTACATCCTGTGTTTCTGCCATTTTCATCTTTAATGTAAAGCTCACATTCCATCACATCATTGTCTCTGTATATAGCAAGGCATTTTAGTTAAACGTGGGCAGTGTGATGTGTCAAATGAGAATTCAGACTTTCCTAGACTCAAGCATTCCTACTTACCTCGAGTTCTGCCAGTAGAGAAAATATTGGGTATCTCCTGGAGCATCCCTGCCTGCCTGCCAAGTGCACTTCATGAGGGAAATGTTATAAATCACACAGGAGAAGTTTTCAATGGCTGACCCATTCATGCCTGCAAACACAGGAATATCCATGATGAGGAAAAATCGTGTGACTGCTCCAAACTGAAGGACCTTGTGCATGCTTAGATGTGTTAGACACCTGCAATTGCAGCTGATTATTGCTTCAGTTAGGAATGACTTGCTTCAGTAGTAACACTGGAAGATATTTGCACTGAGAGATTCAATGAAGAATTTGTCTTGGATAAATCCTCCAAAGGTATGTTTATAGCTGCATCTGAGAGAATAAGTCTCAGGTGAGTCTACACTGCTCCAATACAGGCTGATATCTAAAGTTGCTACCCCTGTGCTTTGAATTGTTTCTATTAAAAAGGAGACACTGGTGTCAAAATGCCACAAAATGAAACATTTGCCTGTCATCCTACAGTACCCTGCTGTAGCATTTCTATTTGAAGGATTTACTTCAGTGCCCTCGCAAATGAGTGGAGAGCATGAGGAGCTTCCCAGTGGACTCTGGAGAGAGAGAAACCTAAGTGCAGAGCTGTGAAGTTTTTAAAGGCTTCAGGGAGGTGTAGATGTAAACTTGCAAGGTGTTTGTGCTCTGCAGAGATACCTTCTTCCACCTGGGATTAACATCAGGAATCATCTGCTTGATGAGGCAGGACATAGTGCCATTTTGTATATCCCAACTCCATGTTGCTTAAATGAGCAGACCTTGTACCTCATTCTCTTAACAGTCTCATATGTATAACCTCTCTCATACAAAGAGGAGTATACTCTCTCAGATCCTTCATTATTACTGAAAGGTATTAGGCGAGTTATAGTGTGACAAAATTAAGTGTCACAGATTTCTCAAGGAAGAATTTAAATACAGCCACAAACCTGTTTTGCTTTGGATTTTAATAACATTTTAAAGACATTCAGATGCAATCAATAAAATATTAGTAAACAATTAAAAGATAATTGGCCGTTAAAAAGATGGTACCAAACAAGGTGACAACTGGGGACTGAAAAATTGCCGAGCTAGTTGTAGGATCCTACTTTTCACAGAAACATTGTTATAAGGCTGTGGACAAAAACCTGTTCAATCTACAGGAAAAAATTAATCAAGGAAGTAAAGGTTTCTGTTTTCTTTTACCCTGAGACCATTGAAAATAGGCAAATCCTTTCCCAAAATCTAGTGTATTACCTTGAGGAATATATCTGCATATACCTGTATGTATGTGCCATTATGTTCATTTATGCTGTGACAGAAAAGCTTGCCCCATTGTGCAAAGGAGGTGTTATATTTCCAAACATGCATTTTATATTCTCTGCCTAGAAAATGTCATGCAGAGTTTTACTTTTTATTTCTTCATCTATTGCTTTACATAGTGCTACTTCCTGTAGAAAGGTCTTAAGCTTGTGCTTGATTTATAACAGTGAGACCACTACAATAGCAAAGTAGGTCTGATGTCTTCCCAGGCTCAAGAACTCTCTTTCCAGAAGTTTTGAGTAATTAACATTTATAAGTTCAATGTGAAGAGTTCAGTGCTTCCCTCCAGAAAATGTGATGGCAGTGCTAGGAATAGCAGTTCCTCCCTCCTTCTTCCCATAGTCCACCAAATCAGTTGAACTGCCTCAAAAGAGGTCTTATGTGCTTTCACAAGAATCAACAGATGGCTATAAAGTGATTTACACTCCTTTAAAAGACAAAGGGAGATACCCCACAAATATCTGCTTGGGCAAGGAGCTGGCTTGAGGTTCATCTCCACCAACATTAACTTTCTAAAAACTAGCACCTAATTCGAGCAAGTCGTAGGTGCCTTGTCTATGCAGTGGTGAAGGAAGACACAGACAGTGGTGTATAAGGTGCATGGGATACCTTGCCTTCAGGCAGGGGCTGTACCTCTCCAGTGGCTCCTGTCACAGTTTAGAGGACTATAATTTCTGTGCTTACATTAGTTGAAATGAGGATGACATATGAGGATGAATATATTAAAATCTGTGATTACTGATATACTCAGTATAACCACATGGAGTATCAGAGGTGGCCCAAAATGTCTGAATTTTCTAGAAACTGCCTGTAGAAACATGAATGCTTACCATAGCTGTGGTATTCAACTTGCCTGACACAGTAGCATAGCGTAAATTGCTCCCTCTCTATTCATGCAAACCAGACTGTCAAACCCAATATCTTCCTTTTACAGTTCCTGTTCCTGAAACAGCTTTATTCTGGAGATTACGTACTCAATCAGATGCACAAGAAATATTGGCCAAATGGATGAAGACAACTTTGAGCTCTAAAGAGAATTTAGTCAAGGCAGAAGTAATACATGTATGGGGAAAAGAAAAGAATAATCCCAAGAGGACAACTTCATGACTTGTTTGTAGAGGCCAGTGAAAAAGCAAACTATTTTGCTTAACAGACATAGTAGTTGCAAAATAGGAAATGCTTAGCTTGCTGTCTTCTCTGCATAAGCACTGAAAGTAGACAAAATCAGAAGCAGAAACTGCCTTTCCATAAAGTCATGACACTTCTCAAGTAACCCATTTACACAAGGTCTGAGTTCTTGACCTTGTGTCTGCTATCAAAAGTTTGGATCTGAATTGGAGTGGAAGTTTGGAACTGATCTGGAGATTAATTTGGCAAGGAATGTGAAAAAAAAATAAGGGCTTATACAGGTATGTTGGTCAGAAAAGAAAAATAAAGTGTACCTCCCCTCACAAATAAGGCAGGAGAACTGGTGACAGCTGGCATGGAGAAGGCTGAGGTAGTCAATTAATTTTTGCCTCAGTGTTCACTGTCAATCATTCTTCCCACATCTCTCAAGTCCCTGAATCTCAAGGCAGGGACTGGGCGAATGTCCCTCCCATTATGAGAGGATCAGATTTGAGACCACCTGAAGAACCCGAGTGTACATAAGTCCATGGGACCCAATGAGATGCATCCTAGGGTTCTGAGGAATTCAGTTGATGTAGTTGTCAAACTACTCTCCAACATATTTAAAAAGTCAGGCGGAGTACTGGCAACTGGAGAAAAGTGAATACTGCACCCATTTTTAAAAAGGTTCACAAGGAAGATCCTGGGAACTATCGACAAGTCAGCTTCACCTCCATGCCTGGTAAAGTTATGCAACAGATCCTCCTGGAAGTTATGTTGGAGCATATAGAAGACAGGGAGGTGATTAGCGACAGCTAACATGGCATCACAAAAGGCAAACCATGTTTGAGTAATCTAGTGCATCTCCACAGTGGAGTGCCTGCAACAGTTGATAAATATCAGCAGCAGAGGTCATCTACCTAGATTTCTGTAAGACCTTTGGTATGGTCCCCCACAACATTCTTGGATATGGACAAAATTTCTAGTAAGTCTGGCATCTTCACTGCAATTGTCACATAATAGGATCAGTAAGCTGCAGGACTGATTCCAAGGGTGCAGAGGTTACTACCTAGCACATCTAAGACAGAAGGCAACTTTAACACAACTACCTGCAATGAGAAGCATGTTGCACTCTTTGGAGGACTGCCCCATGGATGTATTCTACTCACAGTCTGTGCAGTTCCAGCCAACACACAACTGGGTGATCAGAAAGATCCACTGGGTTATGAAGATGAGTGCAAGGGCAGCAACCATCTCTTCCTCCTTGGAGAGAGAAAACATTGAAACTTTAGCAAGGTGAAAGATGCCAGTGTGAACTGCTTTCCCCTAAATTTGTGTAGTCTGACCTGCTCATATGCCTGCTTCTATACCATCTGACCATTCTCAGTTCTGATGGAAGGAAAGATTACATAGACTTCCCAAGCAGACAGAGAAATGTTCAAATAAACAGTAACAAAGTTAAAGAAGTTGTCCTCTTCTGTAACAAAACAAATTGTGTGACCATTCCTAAAACTGGTGATCTCAGGAGCACTATGTAAGTTACATACATACATTTGGTGACTGCTATCTTAAGGTCTAAAGTTTATTTGTCTGCTATATACAAAGGTTAGGATGCATAGAAGTCGAGCAGGTGGGTAAACATCTGCAAACAGAAAATACCAAAACACGTCACAGCAATATCAATCAGCTCATTACCCAGTGATGAATATGGTGTTTGGTGAGTGTGTTAGCTCACGTATTTTCAAGGAAGTTTTTGAGTATATGCTTAAAAGTGGATCTATGAGTGATGTCTAACTTGTACAAATTCAGTCCCAAACCCAGTGAGAAAATCAAAATTGTGACCAGGACCTTTCTTAGGTGGTTGTAGGTACTTTATTTGCAAAATAAGTTCATTCAGCTTAGCTCCATGTATTCCTCTGACAGCTTTTTAGATTTTGCCTGGGACATCACTCCTCCTGCCCAGGACTTCCTAGAATGTCAATGAATACCTCAGGAAACAAAATAGGCAGAAAGACAAAGATGGACCTACCTTCTATTTCAAAACTTCTTTATCTTGTTTATCTTTCTATCATAGTCTTCAGGCTCAGAGAAGATGGGAAGACTCATATTTTAAATGGTTGTATAGCTATAAATGGAGCTGTCTCACTTGTTGTTTGCATTTTGGGGAACTATCATACCATCGGAAGTGTTGCAAGATACAGTGTTCATCACTTCCCTCCTGATTCTTACCAAATTTATGTAATTTCACAACTCGTGATTTCATAGAACATGAACAAGCAGTTAGCTGGTTAATTTTTTCTTTCTGTTGTACAGAGCCCACCGGTGCTTGGGAATTCAGTGAGTGCCAAAGAATCCTTTCTTTCACAGGTCTAAATAATACTGAGTCGTACAAAGCAACTCAGTACAAACCACCTCTGGGGGGCTGGGAGCAGTGGGGGATCCCCATGATGGGTCAGGGCAGGGCCTGGCAGCCAGGGCCCATCCCACCCCCAGCCAGGAGCAGGGCAGCCGGGGGCACCGGGAAGCCACAGCCCCAATGTGGGCACTTTTTTTGTGGGGAGTCCAGGCCAGGCCAGGCCATGGGCCCATGGGTGGGCCTGGCTCAGCGGGGCCCATGGCTGGGCAGGGCAGGGCTGTGGGGAGCTGGAGACCTTGTGCCCTGAAAGGCTTTGCTTCGGAGAAGACAATGTAATTTACTTAATAAGGAGATTTATAATCCATGTAAAGTAATTTCATTCCACATGTTGAAATTCACAGATTTATGAAGTATCAGAAATTGAAGTATCATTAGAAAATATGACATTTTTCAAACAGAAAGATATGTCAACTTTTTCATTTAAAAAAAAAAAAAAAGCAGATCTGTTCTGCTGGATTTATAAATTTGTAGGAGAGAGAACTGTCCACGTGCTTCTCTATCACTCCCATTTCTTGTGTATTATATTTCGAAAAAGTCACCTGCTGCCCAGCACCCTTCCAGGGTGCTCCAGAACTCACCTTTATCAAAATCCCAAGGTAATTCCTATCCTACCGCTTCTTTATTGACATATGGAGTGATATAACCATATCAGCACTAGCTCATATATCAGCTATTCATACATAACTAAGATAGTTACTTCCCAAAGAAAAAGCCAAAGTTAGGGAGTGCAGTGCTGACTGTCTTTGAGGACAAAGAAGGCTTACTTTCTAGAGACCCAGAAATGCCAGGGGTCATGAATATTTCTGCTTCCTAGATTCCTGCTAGAGTGTGAGATTGATGACTGATGAGCTATAAGTGGACCATCTTTTTCCACTTTCATTCTCTTAAGTTGCTTGTAAACATGAATGATACTGAGTTGTCACTGAGACTAGACAACAGCCCACAGAGGATATCTGACCTGCTTTCTTCTCCGCAACTCACACAGTATAAAGGGAACAGGTGTAGCACAGCAAGTCTACTCATCATATTAGCGACTTTTTGACTGCAAATGTATTTTCTACAAAAATAAACATTGAACCAGCTCCTCTTCTGCTCACATGCAGTACTAGAAGCATAGAGCAAGGCATGAACGGAAAAGCAATGTATTAAGTGATGTCTTATGGTTGTGTTCATGCATTTGATCATGTTTGTCAGTAGCTCAGTACTGACTGAGGAGATGAACAACTAACTCAACTTGAGGATCCAGAACTTTAAAAACTCCAGTCATCTCTAGTAATCATGAGAGAATCAACAGAGCTTGGCTTGGTCTTTTGTGGTTTCAGAGGTAGAGTTCTAGGGCAATGGTGGCTTTATAGGGACCAAAATACATGGGAGTTCACCTTCTTCATACACTAGGAGAGAAGAAAAATATGACAAAACTTTTCTGAAGCATAGTTATGAAGCAAATAGTGGGAATAAGGATCAAAAAAAAATACGTGGATATTCTACCAAAAAGCAGGTTCAGTCATAGAAGAAGTTATTTTTAATAAGAATCACTATGACTACCTCTATCACACTGAACGTCAACAGACAAAGCAACTGAAAGTTTAGACTTCAGATCTGGGCCCATGATAGTCATTCAGAGGAAAAAGTAGTCCATTGTCAGAAGTTTCATTGTACTTCCAGATTAAAGAAATTCCATACTTATCCATGGAGGTATTTTCTGAACACTTAACTGTGCTGTAAAGGTGGAAGAAAGGACTTCTGCTCACAAAGAATGAAAAAACTCACACTTCATTGTGTCATCATCTTTGGAGAAAAAACATCCTATTTTGCAGTGGTAATAGACTGCATTTGATGGGGAAAGGGGGAGGGTAATAAAATCAGAGGTAATAAAATCAGAGCTGTGGGAAATGTCATGAAGAACCAAAGGGGATTCTAGAAAATTAAGAAAAACTGAGTTTCTGTACATCTGCATTTCTCTCCTTTCCCCCACACATTTACCTCCCTTGGTCTCCATGCTCCAGTAGATTAGTTCCCAGAGCATTAAGTGAGGGAGTTGAGGTGAGCCATGCAGCCCAGAAATTGGGCTGGGGAGGAGAAAGGCACCAGAATTACATTTGCTGATCCTGCATCACTTTAAGGATGGTGTTTAAGGGCAGCTGTGGCTGTGAGGGGGCTGTAGTTCCATCTTCTTTAGGGAGATTTCTTGGCAGAAGCAGTTGGGACACAAGGCTGTGCTCACTGATGGCTGTGGTTGGGTTGCTGGGCAGAATCTGTATCTGAGACACCCTTTCATCACACTGTTTTGTACTGATGCCATGGGATGTTGACTGCCATGGGAAACTGTGTTTCTTCTGTGCCTAAATCTGGTCCAGGGAAGTACTGTCAACTTCCAGCTTTTGAGCCATCCCAATTACACATCTTGCAATGGGTGGACAAAGACAAACACATCTGTCCACTGCTGGGTTCTCTTTCTCCAGCTGAACTCTCAGCTGTGTGGCTACTTGTGCACCCCAGGCAAAGCCCCATGCTCCCACTCGGAAAATATCCCAAGCCTGTAGAGCAGGTAACAGAGGAGCAGTGTGCTTTTTGGTGCTCTCTCAGATTACACACCTCTTTAACATTATGAGGAAGTCTGGGTTTTGAGGTTTTGGGGTTTTGGTACTTTTTGTTCTTAAGCTGAAATATACTGAAGCAGAACAATTCAAGCAGCCCACAAGGACAGTGATGTTACCACAGACAAAGGAACTGTCTTACCCAGGGGATTTCTTTGCTTACCTATATTTAGGGCTAGTCCTCACCTGAGGCTTTCATAAATGCAAACTAATTAAAAAACATTAAAAATCCCCAAGCAAAGCTGGTGCTATTCATGGTGCCACCAAACTCGGTTATCTTTTAGAGGCCAGAAAACTAGTGTTGAGTGTCCTCACTATGACCCAGGAGCTGGAAGAGAAATGAGAAGAAGAAGAGAAAGAACAAGCAAGAGAGAAGAGAAAGTTGGGCAGAGACACTAGGACTGTTTACAGACTTTTTTCTCTACAGGGAGCAGAGTCACTGTAGGAACAGGATTAAAACCAACCTTTCTTAAAAGTCCCAAAAGTTTGAAGAAAAATTTATTGCCCCAACAGGTATAGGAGTGCTCACAAGAAGTGCCTGGGAATTTTGCTATGCTGGTGTGTTACAGCTTTTGTGTGGAATGCAAAAATACAAATGGGAGACAAGATCCTCTCTTTGGTCCTTGTAGCAAGAACTCTCTAGTTTTTAGCAAATGTCTTTCTCCACAAAACACAATAGTCATAGGAGACCAGAATAATGGACTTCTGTCTGTGTGAACATCTGAGCCATGTGGTTAGAAGGTTATATAGCATGACCATCGTTTCCCAGTGAGTATAGTATTAAGTCTTTCCCCAGGGATGAGAAAGGGATAATACTCCTACCTGCCCTGTTTCACAGATGGGATTTCTGGTGTTCTCATCAGGTTGTTAACAAGTTTTCTGAATGGCTTTGCCATCTCAGCAGCTTTTGCAGTGAAAGCAGCGGGGATGTAAGGGGTGCACCAATGGCCATGATCAACTGTGAATGAAGCAGGATGGAGTGCATCCAGTAGACTTTATCTGTTTAATTCTCCTTAGATTAAAGCTTTGGCTTTAGTTGGCCATTTGTGATATAAGTGTTCTTATCTTTAGGCAGCTATAACTTAAACAGAAGGCTTCTGTTCTAGTTCTGTTTTACAAAGTTATTCAAGAGAAATCATTAATGACAGCTTATTCAGGAAGAGAGAATCATAGAAAAAATTGGTTTCAAAGGTGACTTCTTGGAGGTAATGCAGCCTAGTAGAATTTTATGACCCTGAGAGAACTTTATCTACCATGAGAGGATTTCAACCGCCTGAGATGTCTTTAACCATCCTGACACCTGCTGAAAGGGCAAAATGGCAGAGTATAAGCAAGCCAGGAGAATTACAGAGATCACCAGAAACAATATTTTGATGTAGATGCTAGACAAGATGACTGTAGGAGGTACTCAGCCAGATCTGCAACTCATCAAAGAACTGATCACAGATGTGACAGTCATAGACAGTCTTGACTGCAAGGATCATGATGTGGTGGACTTTAAGATCCTTACAGAAGGAAGGAAGGCAAATAGTATGCTATATAAGTTGGATATTATTAAAGCAGACTTCAGCTTGCTAAGGCAGAACAGAATCTGAGACCTAGTGCTCTACCCATCTCTCAGCTCTTGGCTCAGAGACTGGCAGTAATTCAGAGATTTCCACTATGGATGTGCTGGACTACTGCCAGCAGCTTTGGTTTAGCCTCCAGCACATCCTTCCTGTTCTTTCCTATGTCTTGGATACCATGACATGTATCACGGCTCATCCCTTGCAGTCCCAAGTAACCTCTCTAAACAGCTAATGACATCTTCCACCTTTTCCCTGGCACACAATCTACTATGCCAGAGGTGTCCTCGTATACCTCACAGACCCAGGTCTCTGTGCCCTCTGCCACCATTTGCTTCCTACTGACCTTATGGAGTGACTGAAGGGCAGAGCTCAAAAGATTATAGTGAATGGGGCTACATCTGACTGGCAACTGGTCACCAGTGGTGGTCCTCAGGGTTCAATTCTAGGCACGATTCTGTCCAATGTATTCACAATCTAGGTGCAGGAGTTGAATGCACCATTAGCAAATTTGCTGATGGTACCAACCTGGGAGGTGCTATTGACTCTTCTGACAGACAAGAGGCCTTGCAGAGGGATCTAGATAGATTAGAGCATGGAGCAATGATTAATGGGATGAAATTTAATGAGTCCAAATGTCAGATTCTGCACCTAGGATGGGTAATGTCAGGCAATATACTATATAGTGTATATATATACTATAAAGTGGTAGAGGAGTGGTTGGAGATCAGCCCTGCAGAGAAGCATCTGGGGGTGCTGGTTGTCAGCAGGCTCAGTGTGAGCCAGCAGTGCCCTGGCAGACAAGAGGGCAAACTACCCTGGATAACCAGCTAGGCAAAAGTGGTGATTACCCCACTGTATTCAGCATTAGTGTGGTCTCACCCTGAGTTCTGGGTGCAGTTCTGAACCCTACAATTTCAGAAGCATTTGGAGGTACTCGAACGCATCCAGAGGAGATAAAGATGGTGAAAAGGCTGGAAGGAATGACCTATAAGGAGAGGCTAAGGACTTTAGGTTTGTCCTGTTCAGAGAAACGGAGTCTGTGGGGTGACCTCTTATCTCTCTACTTCTCCCTGAGGGAAAGTGTAGAGGGAGGTGCTGATCTCTTTTCCCTGGGATCTGGTGGTAGGACATGGGGGAATGGCTCAAAGCCGGACCAGAGGAGGTTTAGACTCGACATTAAGAAGCATTTATTTACTGAGAGGGTGGTCAAACACTGGAACAGGTTTCCTACAGAGGTGGTAGATGCCTCAAGTCTGTCAGTGTTTAAGAGACATTTGGACAATGACCTTAATAATATCCTTTGACTTGGTCAGCCCTGAATTAGTCAGGCACTTGGACTAGATTATCATTGTACGTCTTTTCCAACTGAAATTTTCTCTATTCTTTCTATTATTCTCCTTCTCTTCCTGGTACAATCTTTTCTTAACCTTTTCTGTTTCACAGGGATTCAGTTTACCAGAATGTGCAAATCACTCAAGATATTGCCCTGTGCAGGAGTCTGTCCTATGTTTTTTGTCCTGACAGAAATGCAGAAATCAAGATCAAACCAACTTCAGAAGAAGTCATTTTAGCAGCCTCAGGTAAAGCTATGGAAAAGCTAGTCAGGAACAGAATTGCCTAGTAGGCATGGGCAATCTTTAGTGTTTATTCTGTAGACCATTCTCCAAGTAATGCTGATGTGAGAAAAAAACAAATCTTTTGTAATGTCAGTATTAGTGAACCTAGCTGTTGTAATCATACAGCTCTGTAATATGGTGCCCTGTTTTCAGCTGGAATAGAGCTAATATTTCTTAGCAGCTAGAGTAGTGCTGTTTTAGATTCAGTATGGGATTTGATATGAGAAGATGTTGATAGCACGCTGATGTTTTTAGGTGCTAAGAAATCAAGGACTTTTCAACTTCCTATGTCCTTCTAGTGGGCAGGTTCACAAGAAGCTGGCAGGAAGCATAGCCAGAGCAATGGACCCAAACTGACCAATAAAATATTCCTTATCATATAACATCATGCTCATTATATAGAGGAGGGTTGGCTGGGAAGCTCACACTCCTCTTCCAGAATTGCAGTTTTGGAATTTTTCTTTGGGATCATTAGCTGGGAACAGGCTGGGCATCAGTCGTCGGGTGGTGAGCAATCCCATTGTGCATCACTTGTTTGTATATTCAATTATTACTATCATTATTAGTTTTATTTTATTTTATTTCAATTATTAAATTGTTTTTTATCTCAACCTGTAAGTGTCCTTACCTTTACCCCTTCAACTGTCTTCCTCATGCCACAGGTGGGGGAGGGTGAGTGAGCAGCTGCATGGTGTTTAGCTGCTGGCCAGGTTTAAACCACGACATATGGTGTTGTCATTACTAGTAACAGGACATAAGGTTTGTAATTAGTTTGCAAGGTCTCAGGGCTGAAGTTTGTCAGGTTTGCTCTGCTTGAACTTTTCTTGACTTGTTTGTAGTTTTGTTTATAAAACCACACAACCAACCTGTACCATTTGCAGCTAGCAAGTGGTAGACTTCTGGAGAGTTCAGAAGTTCAATTTCCAACATTTCCCACCCCCCACACATACACATATTTATCTACTACCTGCTAGCTATCATATTTGAAGCTACTTTTTCATCTACCACAGATATGAACTGATGAAAAGTAGGAGGAAATTTTTGGTTTTGTAAATAGATGTGAGTCACATCTAGGGTGTGCTGTGCTGAAGGATGTAGCAACACAGTTTGAAGGAAAGAAATAAACTTATGAGGAAATTGTCTCCTGAACTCTTTAACAATGACTATTTTGTATGAATAAATGATATTTTTTAAGAGGCTTAATCTTGGCTAGTTTTCAGTGGGTGTTCATAGAGATGACAAATTTTTATTCCTGATCATAATTGCAATATGGCTGTATCTTTTCCAAGGCACTGGATCATTGAAGATTTTATTCTTTTGTATGGTATTGAAAAGCAATATATTAGCTTCCAAAACACCACTGAAATATTTTTGCTGAAACAGTGCAAGAATACTCATCATAAGTAGAAACAAAAATAGTCCAAACAACTCTATGCAAAATACAATCAAACATAAAGAGGCTTTTAAAGACAGGCAACACTATTCTCTCTTCTTGCAAGAGGAAGATAATATTAAAAACCCATAAACATATATGTTTGAAAAAATTCAAGTTGAACATTTCATCCGCATGTCATTATGTCACCTCTTCAATAATAATTATTTCTTCAGTTCCATGTTGCATTATTTGATTCTTATTTTCTGTCTATTAAGGGAAGAATAAAACATTTCATTAGTGTTTCATCCATGAGATTACCCGTGAGTTTACAATTTATGAATCTCCTGTCATTCAGAGAGTTACTATATAGAAGCTGTAGTGGAACTCTGTCAATGAGAGGACTGAAGTAGTCATGTCTAGGTCTTTCCTCCATGAGGAACAAAAACCATTTCGCGTCAAAAGCCAGAAAACTAATCTTTTTTAAACACAGAAAAGTTAACATAATGAAGGAACAGAAAGTAAAAGGATTTATAAAGGCTCACCAGGGATCCAGTGTGTTCTTGTAGACACATTCTTGCTTCCAGGCTTGGCTGTAGCCAATTTAAAGATTTTTCAAATTGCATACTGCAGCAAACTTTGCAACATGCTGTCTAGATAGGCAGTTTCTGCAATGTCTATCTGTCTGTTCCTTGTTCTTCTCATGAGTTTCTCCATAAGCTAGAACCTCTCAGCTTTCTACTGTATTTTTTTTCTTTCCATACCCTGGAAACTTTTTCTCCTTCAACATTATTGCCAAACACTAACATGGGTCTCAACTTCTGCTATGGCACAACTATTTTTGGCCAGCAGTAGATTGCCCCTTTCTCTCCCCATTGCTGACCAAAAGTCTGATTCTGATTATTATTGTGATTATTTTGATTATTATTGTGCTGAGAAACTTAGATTCAGTACTATTCTAGTGATAACATATGGCTTATAAGGAGAGCAGGGTGAAATTGTATATTTTCTCCAATGTTCCAGTTAGATGGATGACAATTGCTTCAGAATAAAAAAGGGAAAATAGACTCATTATTTGCATATGAGCCTTCTCTTTCAATACCCCCAGAGCAAGAAAAATAAAGAAAATTTATCCTTGGATCTGAGCATCTTTCTGATACTTAGGTCATAACTTTGACTGCAGTGGATCCTTATTTACAATAACTTTCAGGCAAATGGAAAGAAAACATACCTGGAAATCCATTGGAGAGATCTCATAGAATGGGTCTCTTGGCTGTGGTATGATAGCAGATGTTTTTTTCAAATAAGTGCTTCTACAGTGACAAAAGGGTTGACGAAGAAAAGACTTAGTATGCAAACATATGAACATGTACTTTGTAATAATGTTCCCGAGGTATTATTTTATTCCTCTAAGACAAAACCAGTGAAAGAGTAATTACATAGGCTGGATAAAATAATATTTAATTGTTCAAAATTTGGATAATAATTTTTTTTTTGACTTATTAAAGAATCATAGGAAGTTGCTTTTTTAAGTATCTGGAAAGGAAATATTCTCAAAACAAGTAAACAATTTAATATACCACCCATCTACATTGCAGGGTCTGATGGTAGGAAAGCAGCACTGATACAAGGCCTTGTCCCAGTATTGAAAAAAGCATTCTGTTACATTGATCAAGTGGGTGAGAAGGTTTGTAATTAGAAATATAGACCCCACCTGAGGAACATTCAGCAGGTCATGATTCATACTATAGTTCAATGTCCATTTTCCCCTTGCTTCTCTCCTTTAAAAGGAGGCCAGAAATTTTCTGTTGGGGAAAGAGGTGTTCTTTCAACTACAGAATAAAAATTTTGTACAAGAAATTAGGCTTACACTGTGCAGAGAAAAAGTACAAGACTTGCTGCCAGCACTGGTATCATATATAACGTATATGATGAAGTAGATGTAAGTTGATCTTTTCCTGAAAGACAAGCAATCATCAAAGTGTTGATTAGTATCACAGAAGAGGAATGATTGCACAGCTACATGCAATCTGCTTTGCATGATAGTGTGGAACACCAACATGAAATGGCTTCTTCTTCAGCTTAGCACCTCATTGCCCTGTAACATGTGAACAGGATGGCTGACAGTATGTGGACTGTATGGTATTTTGGGACCTTAAAAAGTGTTTTGTGAGGAACTGAGGCCTACATAGTCCTTCAAAATCCAAGGTGGCAGAGAAGTCTGTAAAGCCAGAAGTAGAAATGGAAGAAGGAAAAGAGCTGACAACAGACCTCTAAAAGATCTGCTTTAGTCTATCTCTCTTTATTATATCTCTCCTTGCAAGAAGCATCCACTGTCACACCAGAATGCTCGGAGATCTCCCTCATATTAAGAGATATGACAATTCTTCACTCCTTTTAATCCTAGCAAATTGATATGCAAATATCGATGTGTTTCCATCTGTAAGTATGAAGTAATAAGTGAGGCAGACAAGTAATAACTGAATAAAAACTAGGTCAAGGAAGTGATTTTCATTCTTACCAAACTCAATGGGTGTACTCCACTCTCCCCAGCTTGTGCTCACTAAACATCCATTGTCAGTTGCTCTGACTTTGACACTATACCTTTTTTCTGCTCGGAAGCTCTCAAATATGTAGGAGTTTCCTGTGATGCTTCTTTCCTAAATACAAAACTAGACTGAGAACTTTTTAATCGTTAGACATACAGATATGAAGAATGTGTCAGGTCTGTTTAATGATGCAAACAATTACAAAAGAAAGTTTTGCATATACTTCTGTGAACAGGCTGAACAGAATGAAATAACGAACAGAAAATTAGCCTTCAGTAAATTATCTTGTTACATCCTAATTCCTTTTGTTTGAACATTTTTATTACTGGTGATATGAAGATGAAATTTGCAGTATGCTTCCCTGGCTCCTTAGCCTCTGCTAAACAATAAGACTTTGTCAAAAAAAAAAAAAAGCCCCAGCCCAAATCACAAAGATTATTTTCAGTCTGTAAATTATTTATTTTATTAGAAAGTAATTCTTTAAAGATCTGGCATTCCCTTACTGTGGATGTTTTCAAAACTGAAGTAGAGTTTAACACCCAGATTATACAAAAGGAAAAGTTTTGACATATATTGAAATCTTTCTCAGAGGAATCTTGAGCCTTCTTGAAAACTTTTTTTTTTTTCTTCTTTATACTGGTTTATCTTTCAGAAGATATTTTCTTGTTTCATCCATCTCAACTCCTTCCAGAGACAATTAATGAAGAAAAAATTACCCACATTTTGTGTGTTTAAGTGTAATGTGGAATTATGATCCATATTTCTACATATATATGAATTTGGTAGGAAATACAAAAGACTGTAAAATGGAAGATTTTGTGACTTGCATAGAAGTAATATAAAGTTTCACATGTTCAGCATAAATGTTACATTAATATGGTAATGAAGACTTACTGGTTTAGATGTGGTTTTGATGTTTTTCTCAAGATCAGCCTAGTAACAAGAGAAAAAAAAAATATGATTGTTCTGTTTGTTACTATATAATAAATGGTCTTATCTCATGAGTGGTTTGATTTTCAGGAAAAGAAAAGTACATCTAACTTTTTAAATGCTTTCTTTTAAAGATTGTGAAGTTAAGCTGTTCTTCCACTGAAAAGTTTTTCTCACCATTGGTGCCTCTGAAACACTGTACCCTTTCAATTTGATTCTAGAACTGATTGTCAAAAAACTAAAGAACAAAAGACTCAGGTTGTCCACCAATTAACATTTTATGTTTTACTTGTACAAAACAAAGTACATAAAAAAATACTGGTAATCTTGAACAATGTTTCTGTTAAAACTTTTTTCAGCATAGTTTTTTATGTTCTTAACCATTCAATTTACGTCTCCATTTTTAAATTATTTTTATTATTATTATTGGAACAATGAACTCACAAATATTTATGCAAACATTCCAAACTTTTTGATGGATTTAATACTACTTCCTATATTCATCCCTGCCTTCAAAATATTGTAATTACTGAAATGTGTAATAACCATATACAGGTAAAACCTGGATATTTTGTTTCAATAACCTGACAAAATATTTCTTTTTATTCAAAGACATGGATGGCTCTTTCCACTTTAACTTAAAAAGAAAGGACACAGAATTTAATGAAACTCCACAATGAACAGGTGCTGTATTACTGTCCCTTACGTCTGACTGTGACAGATGTGGTGCAACCATCTTGACCATTTTATGCTGCAGACCTACATTAGATAAACCTAAACTCCTAAACTCTTTCAGCAACACCATGCTGGTGTCAGTAAATGGAGGCAATAGGAGAATAAGGCAAGGTTGGATACATAAATGGCAAGATGGAATGTGCAGTGGTCCAGGTGGAGATACCTAAGAGCTCTTGCAGTATATCCTAACTTACAAGTGCACCTTTGTAATAAAGCACATTGCTTCTTTGGAGCTAATTTAGAATACCGTGAACCTGACTGAGCAGTAATGATGACTACAAGGAGGAACAAATGCAAAGTGAGTTTATGAAAGACATGATAATAAGAGACTGATGGGATAGGAGACTGCAGAGGAAAACCGTAGAACAGAAGGTCCTGACCTAACTTCATCAAAAACCAGCAGCAAGACTGAAAGACTACACCGGGACCCAAACTGCCTTACAGGGACACATAAAATTGGTTGTATCCAATTTAATAATAACTTTGATTTTTTTGTAGTGTATTTGGAGTTCATTTGCTGTATCCTATGGCTTTTCACTATAAAGTCATCAGGTAATATGACCCATCCCCATCCAGGTGCTAGAATAGCTATTCAACCTCAGTGTGGGGAATCCCTTGCCCAGTGTCTTTAAGGACCAGCTGTACAGTGGACTGAAAGCATTCCCTCAATTTGCTGCCCCTATTTATGAGTGGCAGCAGCCCTTAGCTCCTGTGCAAGGGGGTTACTACAAATCAGAAAGGAGAGATTAGTTAAGTAGAGAAAGAGAACAGAGTATTGGTTGCATGGTAGTGTGTGTATGTGTAAATGCAAGCATACAAAATACTGTTAAGAGTTATAATTATTCTTACCTTGTTTTCAATGACAATTTCATATTTGAAACAAGCATGTCTTTTCACATGACTTGTGCGAGGTGGTTGCCATTGAATTTCACAACGATGAGAAGCTTCTGTACAGTTCACAGTGACATTTAGTGGAGGAGTGAGTTTTTCTACAATAATATGATTAGAAATGCAGTTGGTTAATAATCAGTACTCTTCCCTCTGCCTTTTTAAAACACAGGTAGATGTTCAAACAACTGGTCTAAAAAGATGTAATGCAGCTTCACCCCATATTCTGAAGCAGGACTCCCTGATTTCACACTCCAGTTGAGGAACCCGGAGTATCATCACCAGCAGTATGTAAAATTAAAAAACCATAAACCATTTGTTAGTTTCTACTGAATTCAGCATACAATCTGTGCAGGGGGGTTGGTTGTGGGGTTTTTTTGTTGTTGTTTTTGTTTTTTTGTTTTGTTTTTTTGTTTTGTTTTGTTTTTAATACTGTGTTCATATTAGACAGAAGTTTTTTGTTTTTGTTTTTGTTTTTGTTTTTAATTTTTAATTAACCACATTCTTCCATTAAAAAAAAAAAAAAAAGTTTTTCTCATAGTCCTGCTCAGGCATTCTTAGCTAGTTAATCCCAAAAGACGAAACCTTTCTGTCAGAGAATAAATATTTGACTGAAATATTCACTATTCTCTAACCTATGACTTCAGATTGTCTCTGAACTCATTTGGTTTTGTTCATTCTTGTACTTTTGGCTTTCCAGGAATCAAGGCTGGGGAAAAGGGAAAAAAAACAAAATCTGTTATGAAGAGCAGTGTTTTAAAAATGTATGCTTTTTTCCAGGGATTAATTATATTTCATTCCATTAGCATAAAACTGGAAATAAAATTGGAAAAAAAAAATCCTTACCGATTGTGTACAGTTTAATCTTCTTCTCATATGACTGAATGTTTCGTCCACTTCTAGACCCATTTACCAGGAAATAAGCTCTCTTATTTTCTATCATCACATTTTGGAATCTACATCCTCTGTGCCTTTCAAAATCATCTTTGATGTAATTCTGGCATTCTGTGAAATCTTCTTTCCTTTATATGACATATTACATCATTTAAATATTGACTACATCTCATGTCAGACTATAAATCAAAACTCGTAGACCCTCTTACCCTGAGGTCTTCCAGTACAGAAAATACTGGGTATCTCCTGTAGCAGTCCTGTCCACATGCCAAGTGCAGTTCATGAAGGAAACATTAAAAATGACACAGACAAAATTCTCAATGGCTGTCTCATTCATGCCTGCAAATACAGAAGGAATATCCCATGTCCATTCCCTGAAAAGACTGTATAACAGCTCAAATCATGCAGATCTCTGCAAGCTCATTTAGTAATTTTTAGTCACCCGATTAGTAAATCCAACTGCATATTGGGTCTTGCAGTTACGTACTTGCTTTAAGACAGCAGTGATTTTTTTTTGTGTTGAGCCATGAGGATTACTTATCATTGTTACAAATGCTGAAGATGTGATTAGGATTTGATCAACTCTTTAATCAACTCAGGAACAATGATGTAGTGGGAGTTAATAACAAAGACATTCACTGTTGTGTACTTTGTTTAGATCCCCTGTATCTAAGGTCCAGTTTACAGTGAAATATAAAGTCTACAACCATGAGCAAGGCAAATTCTCTCACCTGTGTTTAAGTGCTCTGACCCTTGGTTGGCTTACAAAGGACTAAGTATTTAAAATAAGTTGTTCACCACTTTCTTCTGCGTAGCAGCTGGGTGATTGCAACATAACCCCGAGACTGCTTTTTGAAGCTAGTCCTGCAGAAGTGTCAGAATTATGAAGAGAGAATGGCATATTTTTTGTTCCCGAGTTGCAAACAGTTGCTAATCTGTTCTGGCACATTGGATTCAAGGATAGGGTGAATTTTGTTTGCACTGAACTTTATAGAAGCTGCCCTGAACATCCATGTCATTAAGGTAAAACCACGACAAAACTGAAGTAGATTGTAATAGCTTGCTTAAGTTAGAAGACTATTCAAGTTGTGTATTCACATGAGGAAAGAATCCCCTGGTTGTTCTTCCCTATCAAAAGGTGACATCTCCCACAGGAAGTAATAATCATGCAGTACCTCTTAACTACTATGATCATGAAGTGAAGGACTGGGTCACAGTTTTCCATGGCAGTGCTTCATTGAGCACCACTACTGCTTACCTTTACCTCCCTGGTTAACCTTAAATCTTCCTACATGTCTAACACATGTTCCCAAACATGGTTCAGAAGCCACCATATTATGAAAACAAGTGACTGCCTGCTGTTTGAGCTTCGCTCTTGTTTCTCATGTTCCCACAAGCATCTGATCATGTAGATGACAGCACTGCACTGGGAGTCAGCATGCACTAGGGAAAATATTGTCATGCCATGTCATGGCAAATGAGTCCCAAGAGTAGTAACCATCTCATTCTTAAAACTTTTGAAATAAAGAAGAATCGTTTAAGAGACAACAAAGTTGTCAGAGTACTCCTGCATTTCTGGAAAACTTCCTCTCTTCCAAGAGGAAGATTGAAACTGTTTCAAGATCTTGGTTCAGCACTATGTCTTTTGACAGCAGTGTTGGCCTAAACATGCCCTGTCTTTCCCCATCCTCCATGGCTCCTTTTTGATTCCAACCTGCCTCCCTGGCTCTGCTAGTGCCACTCCCTGTGGAGCCTCATAGTGAGTAGTTCTGACGTGATTATCACTAAAACTAATGATTTTCCCACCCTAGCATTTTTTTTTTTTTTTCATCTGGCTTATCTTCTTTTACCAGAAACAATGGAACAGTGTGGGTTAGCAACAAAGATCCAGAGGAGAGCTGTCTAAACTATTTCTGTTGCTGCAAGAAATGTTGACCTCTGTCTAGTCACTAGAGGGATCTAAGCTTTCAGTATAGAGTTGCTTATATCCAATTTATGTGTAAATTTATAGATATGTATAACAAACCACTCAGTGATTATGGTACTGTTCTGAGGTGATGGAGAGATTTGCTCAGTTCTCTCTCTGCCTCAGATTCACTTTATGGCCCAGGGCCAATCAAGTCTGTGTACTTCACTTCCTCAATTACAAAAGAAATAGAGAAGTTTTCTTTCCCTCAAGAAATTGTGAGGTTAATGCAGCAGTCTGAACTATGGCCACAGGTGCTGTGCAAGGGTCTTAGAGGGATGGGTTTTGTGAAGTCTCTGACAATGCTGCAAATCAAAAATAAGGGTTATTCTGATTTCAAATCAGATCACAACCTGATTCATGTGTGGCCAAAGAAACAAGCAGTTGAGTTGGCAGGTGACACAGGAAATAGGGTGAAAGGAACTCCTAAAATGGCATTGTGGTCAAGGAAAAGGCAAATGAAACGACATCCTTGACCTCTTCAGTGGTGGCCTTACCTTTTTTATGTTTAAGATAATTAGCCTGAGTTCTACAGCCAGAACATTACTCTGTCTACAATCCAGCCATGATCAACTGCACAGTGTCACATTCATGCCAACAGCAAGCACATGGTGATCACTCAGATATGTATGAGTCAGTCTATTCCCTTTGCTGCCAATGCTTTTTTCCAGGTTTTGAGTGGATTTATCTTTAATTTTTTATTTATTCACCTTTCTATGGATATGCCAAAGAAAATTGAGAGGAGCAGCCAAGTATGATTATCCTTCCTTTAAGTTTTATTTTTGAGCCTACTGTATTCTTCCTTCTGAACTGCCTCCTACATTCACTGATAATTAAAACGAAATACATATGCAAGTATACTAATATCCTCACAAGCATCTTTTGTTTCATATATGAATAACCTATTTTCCCATATTTTAATATCTTTAGCTATATTTGAAACCTTTCTTGACATTCTTTATATCTTTTCCTAAGAGGTAAGGTACTTCATCAAAACAAATATGATGATTGTGATTGCACCCAACTGCATACACAACACTTTATTTATTTATTTATTTATTTATTTATTTATTTATTTACGTACTTACCTACTTACTTTTCTTGAGTCAGATTAGATTACCTCCATCTCTTGAGCAGATGTTAGAAACTGTGTAGGAGTTAAAAAACCAGAGTAGCTGTAGAAAAGTATCAGAGAAAAGAAAATCTGACTCTGCAACACTTTATGGTAATCAGGATTATTAACAAGGACAGGATCTCCCATCTGGGCTTTGAACTCAAGAGAATCTTTCAGTTTATTCAGTAGTTCCTGAATAGAAAATACATAAAATGCTTTTGATTCTTGAACACAATGAATCAGATAATTTGTAAAGAATTTTAAATAATGTACTTGCTATTGGAAATTAATAAAATGAAATTAATTTTTTTTTAAACTTTTAATCTAACTCAGAAGATGCTGTTAAACTCTGGAGTTTGTCTTACCTAAACTTACCCAAGTGCTGTACAGATATGCCCACAGGGGAACCAGTAATTCTATGTTGATTTAATAGTGTCTGGAAAGAAACAGCTTCTCAAGACACAGTTTATTCAACCTGTCTAGGACAAGATGAATGAAGGCTTCACTATGTTTATTTCCTGCCACTGAAACAATAGCCCAGGGTGACCAGCCCAGTGGGATCCCTCTAAGACTAAGATATCCACCTTGGTCAAGTGAATCCAGGAGGATTCATTTCTTTCACCTCTTTCACATCATCTGGAATTCATGTGTAAGTACTAAGCAGAAATGATACCACTATTCTTTTTTTTTTTTTTTTTTTTTTTTTTTTTCACTGAAAAATGCAAATTTACTTTTTAGAATTCCTTTTCTTCCTCTTTCTTATACCTGTGTTATTATCATGTGCTTCTCTTTAGAAAAATAGTTGCAGTAGAAGAATAGTACTGTTTTCCCCAGAGGCTGTCCAAACTGTCTTTCACATCTCAGATAATTCCTGTGCAGATTATTTATCAAAATCTTAAGGAAACATAAAGTATTTCTGTGTGAAGTTGTTTCCTTTCTGCACTGTAGTTGATAAACTTTCTCTGAAAATTAGCTACAGCTACACTCCATGCTACAGCAAAGCCACTCTCAGTTGCCTCTCACAGCATGCTGAATCCTGACACATGTCCACAGGAAATTGTTGTGTTAGGATTTAGAAATATCAGAGAGGCTGAAATCCTGCTGCAGTGGCTATTCTTATTCAGATTCATTAGAGAGTTGATTAGAGGAGAATAAAAGCTCCCCAATAAGCTGCTGATTATAAATAACATACAACCATGTAGCTTGTCTGGTCTCGATACTGCTGTCTTTTTATAACTTATGAAAAGGAAGGATTTTAATTAAAAAACAAAAACAAAAACCAACCAACAAAAAAACACAAACCCAAGGGGTTTTTTATATTGCTATTTTTTTTATTAAGGAAAATATCTTGTCTGTGCTGGGTATAGTAGTTAAGACAAGACCTCTGAGTTTTATTTCACAGCTTTTCCTCTGAAATACTTGTAAAGTTATTTTTGTCTGAGGGATTATATGAAATGGAATTACTGTTTATATGTTGTATGTGCTACGAGTATAAAATTATGCCTGCATTCCTGTGACATTTTTAGACAACTGTGTATGTGTGAAATCTTCTACTTCAGTATTAAAATTGTAATAAGAGAAAAGACACTGACATACTTCTATTGTACTGGTGCCTAAAAGTAGCAGTCCTCAAAGGGATTCACTCTGCATAGTGATTTTGCTCTAGGGATGTAAAGAGCTGGAATCTGAAGATTTTCAGTGCAAGTGTGTTTTCAAAGGTGACATAGGCATGCTTCAATGCTGTAATGCAGGTTTTAACTTAAGCAAAATACTGCTATGTGGATTAAACCAGTAATACTGGAAACTACTGATTTTTAAATATTTTTATATAATTATTTTCAGACTCTAATAAAAATACACCATCAAAATTTTGGTTAAGACATTCTTCAGAAAAAGTCATGCATTTGCAGGTAGTGTCTATCCACATCTCAACATTAGAACTAGCAAAAATAACAAAAGACAGTATTTCTTATCCTAGCTTCTTTGGAGAAAAAAAAAAAAAAAAAAAGAAAAACAGAAAAGAAAATAGAAAACAAAAACAGACAAAGACAAAAGTCAACCTACCTCTTTGTTGTTTCCCTGTGACTGTGGCAGTTACAATAATGGGGCATGAAAGACGGAAGATGTGAATTTGCCTTGGTGGCATATTTTCATGTGCTTTGACAATGTGACTTCATTATTAAGTTCTTCTGAACCGCTCATGTAACAGGCTGTAATAATCCCGCCTACGTCTTACTCACTTCCCTTACCCTGTACTTCTGTAATGTAACAGGGAAAAGCGTGGTTACACCCATTGTTTTTCTACAGGAAGACAAATAGGTCTCATAATAGAAGGACACCCTCTTTATCACTTCATTCACATAATTTTAACTCATTTCTGTCAATACATTTTTCATACAGGTGTTTGTACAGGGCACAACCTCAAAGGTAGGTGAATAGATGAGCCTACCTACTGGCTAGGTATAGGTCAGGTACCATCATTTCAAGCCATGCCACTGTTTTCTGCTTATTGCTTTATGTCACCACCCTGCACAGGAGAATAAGCCTAGTGGTCTGGACTTCGTAAAAGTCATTCCCAGCTTTGCACTAGATGGGCAACAAGTCAATGCCACCAGCCTCCACAACTTTTCCACTGTGACGTGGCATGCGGGCTGGGTGAATCCAATCCACAGACCAGGAAAAGCTCCTTCACTCATGCAAATACCCTGAGTGTACCAAATCAACACTATGTCAGTTGTCTGTGCTCACGGCCTGGTCTTGGGAAGGTGTGAAGTCCCCCTTTGCCCTCTGGCTGCAGAGTCTGCATCCTCTTTCCAGCTGCATTCAACATTGTGAGAACACACACAGTGTGGTGCTAACACAGTTGATTTTACACTGCCCAGGCATGGACTTTCACAATTGCCCTTGTTAGCAGGCTCCAAAATGAGTAAACCTAAGGCTTTTTTTGCCATCTTGACTGCTTTTGACTCTGAAGAGTGTGCATGGGTCCTGATAGATGTTTGTCCAGCAAAGCAACTCTCTGTGAACTGAGAAACATAGCACCTGCTTTTTCATGTACCCCATCGCACAGTCTGGTTACAAAGCCCTCTGCCTTTCTCACCTTTAAATAGTTTGAACAGGAAAATGAAGTTATTAAAGTAGACAACAGCATTTAAATCTAATTACTTATAATGTTTACTGAGTGTATTAGTCTTACTATACATATCTGTTATATCTCACTGGAGGAGTGGTAAATCATATCAAATTTGTCCTGCTTCTGTCTGTCTGTATCTTGTACAGATGCATTCCCATCAGCCTTTGTTCTTGTTGCTCTTCTGACAGAGGAGGTATCAGGGGGTTTCTTGAGATGTTTCTGCTTCTTCAGGTCTCAATTCCTCAATTTTATTCATAGAGTTGACAACAGGGCACTAGCATGTTCCCTTCTAAGACATTTCCTTTCAGGACCTGCAGAAGTAAGTCCTTTTGTTCTCTTTCTCACTTTCTGAGGTAGACACTTCTGTAAAATTGGAGTGAATTATGGGTTTGGAATAGATTTATATTTATACCTCTCTATGAGGTATATACTACCTGCCCAGCTAGATGACAATAATGCTGTGTAGGTTTGAAACTAAACAACTAATTATTGTATGCATCCAGAGGTTGCATGGAATGAAACGGGTCTTCCATGAAAAGAATATAAGTCTGTAATCACACAGAGGCCAAAACTTTTCAGTATGACAGGAAATACTAGTTGTTGTGTAGTGGACACAAACTGCAACCCTGTTACTATTATTTTCTGGTTTAATAAATTAGAATTTCTCAGAACACTTAACAGTGTTAGAGGGAAGAATTTTCCAGGAAAACAGCTGTAAATAGTCCAGTGTTTTCTTGGATTCTTTTTGGTTATGTTCTTTAGTCCATTAGCAGGATTTCTGCTTTCCAAAATGTTGGTTAATTCTACACTCAATTCTAATGAACTATTGACAAAGCACTTTGCCACCGTGTCCTTGAATCTGTGAAGGGCAGATTTCCTAGAGGAAAAAAAATAAGAATTTAGAAAAGTCAGGGCAGAAAACAGTCCAAATCCCACCAGTGGTACATACAAACTCCTAGACAATTGGACACTCGGTATATAGTCTCTATGTGCCAACCAGTGAGAAAAATATGGGACTTGATCCTGAAGCACAGGCATCACTAGGTTATCTATTACTGAACATGTGAGCCTTCAGGTGAAGCCATGAAAAAAGTAGAAAGGAATCATGCAGAATAAAACTAGGGATGTTTTATTTATCAGCAGTGACAGAGAATAACTTGTTCTTGCATTTGGTTCAGGCCTTAGTATTTCATTTAGCTCCAAGATGTGGTACATGGTGAACTTGCAAGTAAGTTGCACTCACTATGTCTTCCCTGAAATAATGTATGAATTGTCCGCAACAAAAACCCCAAAATCGTGACCTAACCTCAGGGAATAAGTGAAATAGCTGAAACAGAAACAAAATGGCTTTCATGATGAGAGTCTTACAGGTCGTCTTACAGAAAACAAGATTTTCAGCACTGTTTCTCTTTCACTGTTTATGCTGTACAGAAAGGTAACCATCAAGTTGCGAAGTGTGCTTTTATATTATTATGTGCAGGTAAAACAAAAGCTAATTGGTGATCTCGACAAATCTCATTACTTATGACATCTTGCAATGACTAGAGAAAATTCGATCAAACCAACTCTGCCTCTTTAGCACTTGTGACAAGATAGCAAGTTGACACCAGATGGGCTGTTACACTTTGTAACACAAATATTCTCATGACAATCCATCATGCAAGTTACTCGTGCTCTGTTTATTGACGAGATAATGAAAAATACCCAAGCATCAAGTGGTAGTCTACTGTTGCGAGACAAAGCACCAATTTTATTACTTTTTTCTTTTGTATCAGCATTTCTGCATCCTGAGCATGTGTGTGGGAAGGCTATGCTTCGGCAAGTAAGTACCTGGAATGACTTCCCTCAAAACCTCTGCAAGGCTCCACAGAACAACACTCTTTCTTGATGGATGCAGCTACTACAAGTATGTGTCATGTTACTAGTGTTTCTCCCACAAGCTGAGGAAAGGCTTAGGATACACCCACTCATGATTTCCACCTTGAGCCCAACACACAGGTTTGGTTGTGCCTGTCTGGGCTATTTGCTTAGTTCAGGGAACAACTAGTTTGCAAGCTCTATTTAGGCTTGCAATTAATTTCCAAATGAAATGGAAATCTCTCCTTGGCAAGCTCTCAAGGAGAAAAAAAGTTTTAAAATGTGCCCACTGATTGTAAAGTTGCCCTGGCTAGGATACTTGGCCTACAATAATGAATGGCAAAAAGGTGGAAATTCACTATAAAGTTGCACTTTATAGGAGCGGTTTGATTGACAAAACATATCTAAAGGTTTAGGATAGAAACTGAGGTAAATAAAAGAAACAGAGCAAATTGTATAATCAGTAGCTACTCTAACGCAGTCACAGATGAATGAAATGACTTAAGTTGTAATTATTTTCCCTGTTTTTTCTGTTTATATTCCTGTACAACAAACAGAAAATGCAGATAGATGGATGACGTTCATACATGTATTGTGGTTAACAGCAGATGAACTAATACACTATGAGTGAAGGCAGACATCAGTTTCTTCTTAGCTAGGAGAAAGCACTGAACCTTGTTCATTACCTTCCTTCTAAAGCAAACTAGTTTGCATAAGACTCTGCAGGGGACTTTTCATTGAAGTCTTGTGAGAACAGATGCAGAAATATATGAAGAATTACTGTGGAAAATATAACAATGGAAAGAATCCAAAGACAAAGGAAAACAAATGTTCCACTTCACTTTCAGAGGTGTGAAGAATCATTCAGAAAAAACATTTCTGTGAAACTTCACGTGAACCCCCAAAGAAAACTGGCTTTTCAAATTTGTGTTTGTCTTCTGGTTAAAGGCTTCCCCTGAAAAACAAGCTTTTTATTGCCAGTGGTGAGTTGGATATCACAAGAGTTTTATGGTTTAGGTTTTATTTCTCCTTCAGTGATGGCTTCAGGTTAGAATTGAAGGTGATTGCATAAACCATTTCACAGGATAAGCATGCCAGTAAAAGTTAATGTTGTGATTTCAAATTGAAACCAAGAGAGCGTCTCTGAGTCTGGTAGAGCAAACTGCTGCAAAAGCCAAGAGGTGTCAGTAAGAAGCCACAGAATTTTCTTAGTCTTTCAAAGCTGATGCTGCTTCTTGCCAAAGTACCTTCAGCAAGAGAAACACCTTCCAGAAGCAAGTGAGGTGCTGAAGCACACACATACCAGAGTATGTTGAACAATAGTGGCACTGATCTGAGGACAGCTATTGTGGCTATTTATATTCTTAAAATAGTACTCGCATCAAGCATGCCCATAAACAGTGGGTAAATAGAAGTCCACTATTACATGAAAAGTTTACTTTGACAAATTGCATTATGGGCAGTGTCTGGGAGGTTGAGAGACCTTGTGCGTTAGAAAAACAAATAACTTTGTATGCCACAAATAAAGGGAAAAAAAGGTTGGAAAAAAAGGCTGAAAAGGGCTGAAAAAATAAAGGCCAATGCGTTTATCTGGTACAATTATTGTCTTCATGAAACAGGAAATGGGAGAGAAGAAAATATGAGTTGTTCTGATTGCTGCTCTGTAGAGGAATTGAAAGAGTCCTGCTAAAGGATAAAGATAGTGTCTAGACTTTTGTATTTAATCAGCTTCTGTAATTCTTGGAACTGGAGCCCGCAGATTCTTAGAACGGAATTATTCTTGCAACCCTAAGTCCCAGCACAGGAGAAGATGGGTCATGATGTAACTTACAGTGAATTAGGATACAGAAAAGTGGGCTGGTATAAATACCTTAATTTATTGTCAGGTGAATTTCCTTAATTATGAAATTTTTCATACAGATTGGAAAAGCTAAAACTTCAATATTTATATAGAGTAAACAATATATTATCAATTTCAGTATAGGCAGTTTAACTGTATGGAATGTATCACTTCATGAAAATTCACAAAATTACCAAGATGACCTCTGAAGAAGATTTGGGGTACTACGTATGCATCCCAGACTTGTCAATCAGAGTCTCATAATCAGTGTTTGACCTAAACATGGATGTTTTCACTAAACCAGCCAACTTGAAGATAAAGATCCCCTTAGATGCT